AATATAAAAGGAAAAGAAATTTTATGTACTGGAAATGTATACAGATAATGTACGCAATTGAATATGAAATGTAGTGTAGATGGTGTAAACCCCCCTCCGCTGTTGAAATTCCCATGGCCAGGTAAGTCAATCCCCCACCTTTCCCCATCCCACTAACACCCGCAATTTGCAGGACAGATTTTAAATACGCTACTGGACTAGTTTCAGGTGTGGGTTACGAGTTATAGGCTCCTAGGATGTCCACAAAGCGTTCACCGAACCACTTTCTGACGTGTGATGTCTTAATTCTTTTGTGTTAATGGAATCTTTGGAATTCTTTTGAATTTCCGAGACGGGGGTGCAGAAGCCACAACAGCAATACAGCCTGCTCGTCATTGTTATGGGGGGTCCCCCTTTGCCGCTTATCGCGCATCATATGGATATGAAAAGATGTTGAGAGGATTTGAGGCTTAGGCCTATATGATCTATTCATCTAAAAAATAAGTTAAAGGGAAACGGCGAAACATGAGATGCTTTATTCGAATTGGCGACGATTCTCACCTGTTGCGTCGTTCCCCTCCCTCCAGTATTGTAGAGCAGAACAAAACGTCTTTTCTGAATGCTTTAAGCCATGAGAATAATTCCATCTATTGTCAAGCGATTGTCACTGAGCTTTGTACATCTGCATGTAAATAAAAACTCCTGGCCCAAACCGTTAATGAGGAAACAGCGGCTGGGTGTAGAAAAATTTTTTTTTCACATACCCAGTGCATGCCTACGAAGTCTCATTTAGAGACATGCAGTCATCAGCACCAGTAGCGTATCTCGAGGCAAACACTGACGTCTTCATAACCTCAAGAGTTCAAAAGGATTTTATGTAGAAGTTAACCGCATAAATATGCCATAGGTCGACGTTATCCGATGCTTCCAATGTAACTATACGGAGCTGGAGACTTTACACCACCACCAAGTACATGTATGGTTGGCAAAGGGCTAATTTGGAACCACAGTTCATCGTTTCTTCAATGAGGACATCATAGCCTTGGGATTTATGCTTTCTCGCCGAAATCCCACTGACACCGCAGGAAATTGTTTTGTTTGGAGATACAAGCAGCTGTATTATCGCCAGAGGAGTATTCATACGTACATGTAAGTTTCTAAATTTGTTCTGGTCGAGTTGTCGTTAAACTGAAGTTATTGTTGTTCATAGATGTGGTACATGCCTGGATTTTGATGATTATTAAAGAACTCATTCTCCCCATTCTAAATGAGAGAATGCGTCGCGGTCACAGCCTACGTCTTTGTCAAATACATGTATGTCACAATCTGCACATTCTGGGGAAATTCCATTAACTTTCTCCATCATGAAAACTAGACTCTGTAGGCCTACTGCACCGCTAAGATGCATTGAAAGTAAACGGTTTGTTTTGTTAGACAACATTGAAAAATGTGTGTTCCGATAAATGGTGTTTATCATCATAAGCCTTTTTCACTTTTTATGAGCGCTTGCTCATAAGATTTAATGGCGGGGAACAAATTGTTTTTATTGTAGATAATTTGTTCCTCTCTAGCTTTGTTCACCTCATCTCGCGGGGGCTCTACAATCAACAAGGCGACGTAACGGGAAACTGGCTCATTACATGCACATGTATGACACCATTCAAAATTAAACCATTGCTATGTAAGTTAATAGGGTCTATTCAGTTTGAACCTGACCGTCCTTGTTTTGTTGGAATGATGAGTAAACTGCCTTACTCACCCTGTTGATTATGCTTGCGAGGCCTTCTCTCATTTTGAAAAGAAAAACTGTGAATTGATTACACTGTTATTACAGGCAGTGGATGACACTGAATCGATTATTGACGCGTGATTGCCTTTGGGAGTCAGTAGTACACATCCGTGTTGACGCCGCCTACTCAGAGTAACATTTACATAAGTTATTAAGAGTTCTATGAGAATGGGTATCCAAGCAACGCAAATTAGTGAAAAAAGGAACAATACAACGGCATCTGCTGCATTTTCATCACATTGTAATAACCAGCAAAAAATGAGATCGAGGGGTACCCCCCCACATGTCCAATCTGTATAGACCTTATGCGTATGACGCCATGTTAGAGGGTATTTCTTTCTTCTCGAGTAAACCTTTAGTACATTCGTTGTAGATAAGTCTTGAAGGTTTGCATGGTGAAGAGATGTAATAGAAAGTAGGTTTGCGGTAGCACCGTGGACGTATCTCTTTTATGAGTATTTGCGGTTCTGAGAAGAACCACTGGTACTCGACGTTTCGAGCAGTATGCTCTGCTCGTCATCAGGAGAATGCCGAATACTGACTGGGAGTGGAGCTTAAGTAGTCTGGTGGAGGATTCTGGAGACAGGGATTAAGCCGATGATGCGTG